TAAAACCCTAACCAACTCACCGAGCTGCTCTACAGGCTCGCCGAGTCTAAGGAAATCGTCATCACACTCGCCGAGTTGTTCATCCAACTCGTCGAGTCCATGACCATCTTCAAATGACTCGTCGAGTCGACCATGCGACTCACCGAGTACCTTATATCCCTCATCCATACAGAAGCTTTTTAACTCATGCAAAGGCTCCAAACTGCAGATCTAAGCTTCTAGGGCATGATTATCATGTAAAGTTGCAAACTTTACATGCATGCAAGATGGTATGACCCAAAACAACCTAAAATGAGTGGCTTAAGGCAATGGGATAGGTCATAGCTTGGCAAATACTGAAGTTTATGATAAAGAGAGGCTAAAGGAGCCCATATCTGAGTTTGCAACCTCAGATCTTGACCCAACATAGAGAATCACCAGAAAACCCTAAAAAGGGCTCTAAACCCAACCATGAGGGGTTCTAATCAAAGGAGAATCAAGGTAACAACTTTTTACCTTCAAAATGATGCCATCCCAAAGAAGAATCCGGATCTACAACAGCCACTAGCTCCAACTTCTTGCATTCCAAGGTCTTAACTCCAAAGGATCTTCTTTCAAGGTCAAGAACACACACAAAAGAGGGCAAACACGAATTAGGATTTTCTAGATTCAAAAGAGGGAGTTAGTGAGGCCAAGGAGAATATGTAATCCTTAAATAGGGTGCCAAAACCCCGGGATTTAGGGTTTCATCTGCCAACTCCTACTCGTCGATTCCCTACTTGGACTCGTCGAGTAGTTCACTAAACATGCGGATCAATCCGCTGCTACTCGACAAGTAGGGCTACCAACTCGTCGAGTAAATCTCGAAATCAAGAAAATTATTATGTAATTCAGTTACCTGAAGATCGGGCTGTTACACAAATATCATTGACACATGTTTTTATTATATCAAGTAGGTTGCTTATTTTCATCAAGTGAAAATCAAGAACGAAAATAAGAACAATAAAGTCGTAAACATCTATGATCAGGTTAGTTAAAAGAATCCTAGCCTCTTCTACTCATTTTACCTAAATGAAAAAAAAAAAAAGAACATTAGAATTTTTGACATTTTTCTTTGTATAAAGGGTGGTGCTTTTTTCCATTTTCACAACATCTTGAATTAAAAAAATTACGTATGATGGAACAAAAGGTTAATTAGTTGTTTGTAAATGTGGATTGGATTTTGTAGGAGAAAGTTGGGTTTTGTGAAGAAGGGAACAAGAGAAAGGTTAATCCAAATATGGAGTTGAAGAAATGATGGCTTTGTTTAGTAGTACCGTTATCTTCGTTGGCCAACTATCTTTCTTGAATTTTTTTTCACTTTGATGAACGACTCTTTGAAAGTGGATCATTTTTTCAAAAGAAATCCAAAAAATCTATATATGAGATTGATGAAATTTATCACTCCTTAAATGATTCATCTCTGATAATGAACTCGAAACAAATAGCAAGTAATCCAAAACCATGTTGAAATATAATGTGCATTTTCATAATAAGTATCGGTTAATCACTTTTTAATTTTGCTTAATGTGCGTATATATGTAAATAATCGTCAGTAAAATGTGTTGCAAATCGTCATTGGACGAATACATCTAACTTTGTAGTTCATTGTAATAATTATTCCGACATGTTACAAGTATGTTTTTAAGTTTTTGATATTTTAGAGAAAATTAATCAGACTATGAGAAAATAATAAAATTTAAAAGTCACATGATGATTTAGATGATCACTTGAGATTTAACATTCTAATTACAGTTTGTCAAGTTCAAATCATATAAGTTTCATTCTAATAAACTTATACAATTTTCATTCTTAACCACTTTTAAACATGTTTTTTTTATTGTATTTGGTCTAGGTACAGAAAAAAATGTGATTAAAAAAAAACTTTCCAATATATCCTCTAATTTAAAATGTCAATATGATAAATGGCTTTTTTATAAATATTCGAATATTTGCAATAAATCTTTGCTCCAATCTGTATATAGTTCAATGTTCTTTTTAATATTCTTATAGAAGAACAAGTATAGCTTGTAAAATAAAATAAAATAAGGTATATTAAAAATTATAGTGAACATGGAGGTTTATAATTTATAACACCCATCAATTCAAAAAGTGAACATGGAGGGTTATAATTTATAACACGCGTTAATTCAAAACTTTAGACCTTAATGGCTTAAAAATTCAATAAAAAAGGGATGCGTTTCTTGGACTACTTCTATTTACAATCAAAACCAATCCAACTATCTATGAAAAAAATTAATTTCTCTCTCTTCCACCTATACAACCCAACTAAACCCAAATTTTCACACTCATTAGCAAACGAACCCAAACCAAACTATTATATTAATTATGATTATTTTTTATTAGATTATACGAGTTACATATTATGTTTTATTAAATTTATAACCAAATTTTGTTATTCTATTTAAGATTATATAGATGATACAAAATAATTATTAAAAAAATCTTAAAATATATCAATATTGATCTGTGCTTATAGACAAAATTATTTTAAGTATTTTAGTGTATTTTGTTTATTTTTATAGTAAAAATAAAAAAAAATTAATTATAAAAGGGTGTTTATCTAAAAAGACTAATAAACAAAAATGAAAAGAAAATAAAAAGAAAATGGGCGACTAAAGGTTTGGTGGAGCAAACGGTTTGATGGAGCAAAACTGTCATGGGTTTTGAAGAAATTTATAGTTTCTTCTAATTCAATTATGACAACGACTAAAGATTTAATTGCCAATGATTAGCCTAAACTACATCGAACAAAACGCCAATGACTAAAGATATAGTTTGTAAAATAAAATAAAATAAGGTATATTAAAAATTATAGTGAACATGAAGAGTTATAATTTATAACACCCGTCAATTCAAAACAGTGAATATGGAGGGTTATAATTTATAACACCCGTCAATTCAAAACCTTAGACCTTAATGTCTTAAAACTTCATTAAAAAATGGACGCATTTCTTGGACTATTTTCATTCGCAACCAAAACCAACTCAACTATCTATTAAAAAAGTAATTTCTCTCTCTTCCACCTATACAACCCAACTAAACCCAAATTTTCACACCTAATAGCAAACGAACTCAAACCAAACTATTATATTAATTATGATTATTTTTATTATATTATACCAACTTCACATTATGTTTTATTAAATTTATAACCTAATTTTGTTATTATATTTAAGATTATATAGATGTTATAAAAAAATTATTACAAAAATCTTAAAATATATCAATATTGATATGTGTTTATAGACAAAATTATTTTAAATATTTTAGTGTATTTTGTTTATTTTTATAATAAAAATAAAATAAAATTAATTATAAAATGGTGTTTATTAAAAAGAGTAATAAACAAAAATGAAAAGAAAATAAAAAGAAAATGGGCGACTAAAGGTTTGGTGGAGCAAAACCGTCTTATGACAACGACTAAAGATTTAGTTGCCAATGGTTAGCCTAAACCACATCGAACAACACGCCTCCTCTTTTCTTCTTCCTTTTACGTCTGCTTCTCTTCACCACCAAATCTCCGACGCCACCACCTGAAACGACGCCGCTGCACCCCTGTAACGCCGATGCTGCCGCACCCGCTCCGTCTCCAACTCGTTTTTTTCGGATTGTGCCCTAAAGCAGGTTCGTTTCTCTTCTTCTGAAAATCGAAAATCCAAATAAGGATGTGTTCGTTGCTCTTCTTCTGTTTCTTCCTTCTTTTCCCCCAAACTTGAAAATCAAAAATCGAAATCAAGTCTTGATGTTATGCTATTAGTTTCTGATTTGTTCAATCGAAATCAATATTTGATGTTATGCTCGATTTTGATGTTATATGATCGAATCTGAATGTGTTCAATGGATATGATGAAATATTGATGTTGAATATTTGATGATATGCTTGATTTTTTATACTCAATTTTTTATGTTCAATGTTTTTATGTTCGATTATTATGCTGAAATGTTGCTGAAATCATATTTGTGTTTGATGTTATAGTGAAATCATATATGTTCTTGCCATTATCATGAAATATGCATTAGTTTTACTGAATTGTACATTTGTTTTATTGATGTAGTTGAAAATGTGTCTCTGTATTGCTTAAATTGTTGTTGAAAATGTGTATTTCTACCATATTTAGTTAAAAAAAGTTCTTGTATTAATACTTTTTTTGTATGAATATGTATAATAATAATAATAAAAATATATTGGTTAAAAATATAAAAAATTTGTAAATTTAAAAGTTTTTTCGCAAATTTGATTTCATGGCAACCTATAACCTGGATGATAGTTATGATCATTCTTCCTGAGTTCAATGTAACAATAAAAATAAAAATAAAAATAAAAATAAAAATAAAAAAAATTGATGAAAATGAAATAAAACTTTTTCACCTAACTTTTCTTTCTTTCAAGTTCTTTCAAACGCAACACAAAATTCTATTTTCTTTTCTCTCATCTTCTGTTTGTTTGTTAAAACCAAGGACCTAGCATAGATAACAAGGACAAATATCAGAAACTTAACAAACTTTGACCATAAACAAACAAAAATTCATCATAATAATAACAACCACAAAATTTGACTAACTTAAAAACTTTAATGTCAACAAAACTTATTTTTTATACGAAATGATTTTTTTTTACCGAAAACCATTCTGTCTTTTGTTTTCCCACAGCACGAACTAAAGACATTAAGACCTTGAAGGAAAAACCTATTTTTTAGTAATTTTGAACTGCAATGTTCAATTACCCTTTAGACCTTTACATTTAACCTTCTCATTTATTAACATGAGAAACGATGAAACCCACTACGAGGTTTAATTCCAAAATCATATCACAAATAATGGTGAATGAATAAAAAAAAAATAACTTCTATCGTAATAACCTTTTAAACATTGATCTTAGAAGTAAAAAATATTGGCAAATGTAAAACGTTTGACTTTGTTAAAATAATAAACACATCGAAAAGATAAAGAAAAAAAATAGTAGACCGAGTTTCACAATGGATGTGTTTTCTACGTCTCCAGAATCCAGAGTAGACAGCTACACGCATCACAATGCTCCGACCTATTAGTCTCAGACACTTAATCGCTCACGCTCCTCGTTCAATCTCCTCTTGTAGACATGTAAGCCTTGATTTTGTTTTCCGAATTAACGATTAATTGTTTGTTTATTCGGTTGTCGATTTTAACTTACGTTTTCATTGCTATTGTGAATCTCATCTAATTCCATATCTTTGATTTATACTGTCAATTAATGTTACCAAACCACTCAAATCACTTGATCGTTGATTCATATGCTTAGCTTTTGACAAATTCGCGATAGTTATAGTTGTTAATTTTTTTTGCCCTAGCATGCTAATGGTTGATTAATGAAGTGTTTGGATGTGGTGCAAAAGCAAATCCGCATCTAATTCTGCTGATTTTTTAGGGCAAAGATAACTTTGAGTTGCGATTATAAGGGTAAACTAAAATCTATCATACTATCCTTAGCCTTACTGATTAAATCACAATATAATTACTTTGGAAGTGCACATCCAAAACACTTTGCAATCTGGTTTTTAGAAGCTGAGTAGTTTAATTCTATAACTATTTCCATTTTCATAGATGTTCTTGTTGGTTTATAAAACTACTTAAATACTCCATTTTCATATATGTATACATGGTCTCTGATCTGTTCTGAAAATTTTGCAAAAGCTTGGAACATTAGTTATAGCAGAACATGAAGGTGGCTCCCTGAGTGGCACTTCCTTGAGTTCAATAGAGGCTGCTAGCAAGTTGTTATGTAAAGACAACAACTCTTTATCTTTGCTATTGGCTGGGACAGGTCCATCCTTACAACAGGCTGCTACAAATGCTGCTTCATGTCATCCTTCTATTTCTCAGGTACTGAAATATTATTATTTATTAAATTAAATTCATTGTTTTAATGATGTAATTGTCTTAATGTTTTTAGGTGCTTGTGGCCGATTCCGATAAATTCAAACACACTTTAGCAGAACCATGGGCCAAATTAATCCATTTGGTGCAACAAAAACATGAATACTCGCATATAATTACTGCTTCAAGTTCTTTTGGGAAAAATATATTACCTCGGGCAGCTGCCCTTCTTGATGTCTCACCGATCACCGATGTTATTGAAATATCAGAGCCTCGAACATTTGTCAGGTACTTTTCTTTTCTTCAGTAGTATTCTCTTTCCTTATTTTTATTTATTTATTTTTTTTTCTTTTCATATATATGTAGGCCGATATATGCTGGCAATGCTCTATGTACTATCCGCTACACTGGGTCAAATCCCTGCATGTTGACCATCAGATCCACCTCGTTTCCAGCTTCCGCTTCAGCTGATTCTAAACCCAATGCTGCACCAATACACCAGGTTGATCTATCAAGTTTTGGTGAAGGTTTGTTGTTTAACTTTAATCCAAGTGATTCATTTTATTTTGCAAAGAATGTAATTGATATTATTTTGATAGAGGGGAGTTGTAGATATGTGAAGCAAAGCAGCCAGGAATCGGAAAGGCCGGATCTTGGAAGCGCACGTGTTGTGATCACAGGGGGGAGAGCACTTAAAAGTGCTGAAAATTTTAAAATGGTTGAAAAACTTGCTGAAAAACTTGGTGCAGCAGGTATGTTAAATTGTTAATGTTATATGTTATGAAATTTGTTACTCTGTTATTGTAGTTTTTGGTGTCATCTCTTGTGTTGTGTTGTGTTGGTTGCGTAGTTGGTGCTACTCGAGCTGCTGTTGATGCGGGATATGTTCCAAATGAGCTTCAGGTAAAAAAGTCACGTGTCATTAATCTGGATGAATGATGTTAAGTAGTTAGTTTATGTGGGATGTTTATTGTGTTGTATAGGTTGGGCAAACGGGGAAGATTGTTGCTCCAGAACTTTATATGGCTTTTGGTGTGTCTGGAGCCATCCAACACATTGCTGGAATGAGAGATTCCAAAGTCATTGTTGCAGTAAACAAAGATGCTGATGCCCCAATATTTCAGGTCACCCCTCAACTCAACTTTTTTTTTTTTTTTTCCGAAAAGTAATTAATCCTGGTGTCTTGCCAACAAACTGATTTCGTTGGCAACTTAAAAAAAATGGATCGTTTTTCAATTTTACGCTTTTGAGCCATGTTTTCAAGTTGCTGATAAATCGGTTTGTTGGCAAGTTGAAGACACTGGGATTAGTTATTTTTCCTGAAAACAAAAAATATATACTATTTATGTTTTACTATTTTTTTAATTGTTTTTGTTATTATGTTTTTCTATTTTTGTTTGTTATTGAATTGTAAATTTGTAATACTGATGATAATTTATTTTTCAAGTGTAGGTTGCTGATTATGGACTTGTAGGTGATCTTTTTGAAATAATACCTGAGTTGATCGAGAAGCTCCCGGAGAAAAAATAACTTACCAAAAAATTAATTTTAGTTGTTTTTTTTTTTTTTTTGTCCTAATATTAAGAAGATATTGTGATTCATCTCTGTATTTTTAACATCCTTTACAAAAAAATAAAATAAAATTCAACCTCGTTATCCTCACCGTTGTAGTCGTGTAATCCTTTGGGTGTTTTAGTGGAATGTGTTCGATTTAATGTGCACATTCATGATTCATGTAAGTTATAAGTTAATGTGAATAAAGAGTATGGAACCAAGACACAGATTGGGAGTTGGGACCAAAAGGAGAGTGATAGAATTTAATTTAATGATATGTACGGATCTAATTTTGGGATCTTGAAATCATTTTCTCTGGTGAAATATTATACTATTCTGTTAGGAGACTGAAATCATTTTCTGTAGTGAAATATTGTATTATTCTGTTATTTAAAAAAAAATATAATTCTAAGACAATATTTTTAAATTGAAATATTCTAGAAACATATAATGTTAGAATATTATATATATATTATATTTTTATGAAAACTAGAATATTATAGTATTTCACTAAAAAAAATTGGTCTTATAATCTTACAAAATTATATTCATCTCAAATAAACTCTCTCTCTCTCTCTCATATATATATATATATATATATATATATATATATATATATATATATATATATATATATATATATATATATATATATATATATATATATATATATATATATATGGGCGAGATCGGTTGAGAATTCATAGTTTCATGAGAACCCGAAAACTAAAGGTGGAACGTTAGATCAAAATTAACTAATTAAGGACATGATCGTCATATTACCGATCTCATTCAATGTTTAATTTTTTTTATTGGAAATATTAAGAAAATGTTCTATAAATAAACATAATAAATCAAATATCATATTTAAAAAAAAAAAAAAAAGAAGATTTTTTTTACTTTTTGCAGAAAACATGAATTTTTTAAAAAAATTGATTTTTTTTTTAAAAAAAAACTGCAACTTGAAAAAAGAAACAACATTTAAAAAAAAAACTGCAATTTAAAAAAAAAAAAAAAACTGCAAATTTTTCATAAAAAACCGCAACTTTTTTTTTTAAAAAAAACTGCATTTAAAAAAAAGTAAATATTTAAAAATCAATAATTTAAAAAAAAAAAAAAAAAAAAAAAACTAGAATATTTAAAAAAAAAAACTCTAATTTTTTTAACTAAGAAAATCAACATTTTAATTGCATATATGTATATTTTTTCAAATGCGTATATGCATATTTTTTATACTATAATATTTGTAAAGAAATCATAAGAAAACTCATTTTATTTACTAATCTATAAAATACAATACAATAAGTCCTTTATTCGATACAAAATAAAATATAAAACAAAAAAATGCTACAAAATTTAAAACGTTTTCTTTGCGTCAATATTTCCATATTTTCTTCAATTTATTAATTTTCAGCTCTTCATTATTCACCACAATTTCTTTAAAATTACAAAAAAAATTAAAAAGAAATTCATTGATGCAAAAACACTTACAAAAATACATATGTGAATCACATGTAATTCATATGTGATTTACATGTGAATTACATGTACTTCATATATATATATATATATATATATATATATATATATATATATATATATATATATATATATATATATATATATATATATATATATATATATATGAATTACATGTGTATCACATGTGATTCACATATAATATGTGATTTACATGTGAATCACATGTAATTACAACGTTGAACTGTTTATAAAAAAACTAGAATATCACATGGAATTTATATGTGATTAACTTGTGATTTACATGTGAATCACATGTAATTCAAATGCTAGAAAGTTGTTATGGTGTGAACCAATGTAATTCAAGTTAACCGTTATACATAACAAAGAAGTGGTAAGTCTTTATGTTCTAATAAATACATGAGAATAGATCATGTAAGATGAGAATATCAAATCACAACAACCATAAAAGAACACCCCGAAGAACTACAAGTTTAGATGATATTTATAAAAAAAATTATATATACTTTTGCAAAAAAAAAAAAAAAAAAAAAAAAGAGAAATAATAAAACTTACTAATTACGAAAACTTCAAGAAGATTATTTGGACGAGGCAGTACCTCATGACATGAGCCCTGGAATTGTGCAAGAAAATTTCGACCATATGAGTGAAATTAATACTTAATTTGACTGTATTTTTAGATATTTGGATGATTATTATTTCGTAACAAATAAAGTAAATAAAATACAAGTTAAATAATAAATACTTCACAAAAATGGTTGTTTGGGTCATCCCGTATAGTAGAGTAAAATGTGATAATATGAATGTACATAATGCCACTAACAACTAGAAACGTGAGGACTCTAACCCAAATTCGAAATGTGTAGACTTTTTTGCTTTTGAATATGAAAGGATGGAAAGTCCACTGAAGAAAAGCCAAATAGTACAAGATATAGGGACAAAATGTACATAACAAAATATGAAGGATGAACTGATGAAGCATGAATTATGAAAGATGAACAACTTATGTTCCATGGGAAAATTTTCTTTTTGCACTCTGGAAAACTTGTGCTTTAGTTGCTTGTTCTCCCTGACAATAGGCTTGTTGTTTTACAAGAGAATCAACTCTAATACCCAATTCTGACACGATGTTCTGTAGCATAACATATTATAAGATAAATATAAAAATGTTGAAAGAAAAGAGATTCTAAATGATGGTTTTACTTTTACAAAAGTTTACGTACTCATGACCTTTGCGCAGAGTGCCTAAAATAATCAATACTAGAAACTTAGCTTAACAATATAAATAATTTGCTAAGACAATGAAAAAAGAATTCACAAAGTAATGATTCTAACCTTTTAAATGGTTTAGCCTCCATATTAAGTTCATCAGTTTCTTGAATGGATGATACCTTGTCTTTGCTCCTAGGTGAGTTAGGTCTATATATGCAACCAGATTCTAATGAAGAAGAAGAAAAAGAAGGACTTCCATTATTATCATCTTTTTTAAACTCAACAAGTCCATCCAAAATAGTTCTAGAATCACTAGAGGCCCTACGATGAGACTTAAATTTTAAACCTGGTTCACAATCACCTAACAAATCATCTAGCCAGCCTAGATGTTCTCCCAAAAACAAGCTTTATGATACAGTTTATAGCAGCCGTGGCTGATTGCTAGGATCAGAATTTGGGAAATTTGTCTTTGAGATTGGCCACCGAGGTGGAATTTGAAGTTGCTTTGACATTGTTAACTAGATTTTTTACCCTAGTAGATGAAAACAAACTGAAAAAGGAAACAAGAATAGTTTGATTACATTACACATTTTGAATAGTTGACATCTTTAATCATTCATTAGATTTAGAAACTAGAATAACAATATTGTGATGAAATAACTTCTGGAATACTTTAATACATGGCAATATATTCTATAATAGACTCATGAACACATACCTTAATGAGATCAAAAACTCAAAACAAATAGAAATCAGAAATCAATAAACAAATACCTTAGCTACGAAAAATACAGGCTAAACTAACTAAAATCTGTTTTGAAACAAAAAAGTTGAAAACATATACAAATTTAAGATAAACTCTTATAGACATTCGATGTGGAGGAAGGAGAAGAAGTGGTCATCAAACTAGATCGATGTAGGAGAGATACAAAGATCTTCATGATGAATACACTACGGCTGGAGAAAGAAGATAAACATCCAATAAAGGAGCGTGGAGTGATCGAATTAGGTAATCTGTAATGCCCGCAGATTTGGGCAAGTCAATTTAGAGACAATAAGCATAAAAAATGAGTTATTGATGAAATATTATTTAGAATGACTAATCTTAAACAAGTGGTAGTATGTGTTACAAGGGTTCCGTACATATAAAGAACACCGAAATCCGAGTTATAACGAAGAAGTTATGGCTCGTCAAAGTTTTATGGCAAAACCGGCACAACACCAGGAGACGTAAATAGTGAATTTACGACAGAGGAATTTTTGGCCATAGTGATCTAAAAAAAAGTTTTAGTAATCGTTAAACTGATAACGTGCATAAAAATAACGCCTGAATATGACTTCGTATGAGGAAGTTATGAATTTTCTAAGGTTTAGCATAGCGGTGCACAGCTTGAAACTCGAATTGTAGATCGAGCGGTTTTTGGCCTACGCGATCTAAATGAGAGTTGAAGATCTCATTAATAGGAAGTCAATGATAAAAAGACAGACGAAAACGGAGTCCGTATGAAAGAGTTACGAATTTTTCGCAGTCAGTTAACAGTATAATCTCTTCCTACTATTAAATTTAAGATCGGTCGAGAATTAGCCAACAGAGTCAAAATGAAAGTTGTAGACCTTATTTTTACCTACGCGTGGATATAAAGAATGTCAAAAATGGAGCTTGTATGCGAAAGTTCAAGATTTTAGAAGTCGGAAGTGTGCAGTGCGAAAATGGGTGACGTGGCACAATCTTGGCCATTGCTTTCTCCCCAAGTCTTGCCACCATATGGTGACATGTGGCACCAAGTTCAGCCATATTTCACCCTATAAATAGAACCTCTCCCACCCTCATTTTGTTCACACATTTCCCATTCTTTCTTCTTTCTACACTCTCTCTAAACCTCCCAAAACTCCCCTAGCGCTAGAAGAAAGCCCCTGAGCGCTCGACGGCTCCAAGAAGAAGAGCTATCGGCTCAGAAGTTCTGCCCCTGCAGAGTCCGGCTTTTAGCCAAACCCCCTCGCAGGTAAGATACACCTACGCTATTTTAAATATAGTTTTTATTTAAATATAATAATGTTATTAGAACCTTATAATAAATATTTGGACTATTATTATAAGTTATATAAGTTTCGTTATAATATCTTTTTAACCACTAGCAGTACGGGTAATCTGGTTTGGAGGACCGCTTGGATTGTTAGATTTCAGAAGTGCTATATGCCAAAATGATCCTGCCCTCCAATGTTCCATGTCTGGCCCCTGTCTGTACGTAATGGGTGAAAAATATTATGTTAATGCTTATATAATAGTAATAATAGTTAGACTATTAATTAGTCTCGTCGAGCATTAGAC